ATGTGTGTGTGTGTGTGTGTGTGTGTGTGTGTGTGTGTGTGTGTGTGTGTGTGTGTGTGTTTAAAATAGTGGAACAAATTCAGGATAATGTTTCTCAATGGGAAATTGGAGAGACGGATATCCGACCACCTGTAGTTTATGAAATCAGCAAAACGGGGGACATTAGTGCTTCCTTCATAGTTTACACACTGAAAAGACAGCATCAATACAGAAAACTAACGTAGTCCCTCGTTACTTTGGGGTTTGATTTTCGCAGACTCGCTCTTTTGCGTTTTTTCAATGATTGTCAACTTGAATATTATTCATGTAATTGGGAAGTTATGGGATAAAAAGTTAACAAAAAAGAATACTTGGGACAGACACTGCATTTTTGTAGTTTTCTTTCAATAAGCCTACACTGTAACACCAGTCAAAAAAGAACTACACTACCCAGAAGCCAACAGTGCTTCCAGCCACTGCTTTCTGTCAAAATGGAGGGAACGTTTTGCAACGAAAAGTCAGAAGTTACAATCTATTAAACTCACAGAACTGGCAGGAAAGTCACAAATAATCCTGAAGCTTCCTGCAGCTCAATTATCCACGCGCCCATCAACCTGGATGAGGCAGTTGGATTGGTCACTGCAGGGTAGGTCTGCTGAACCGGAACCAAGCCGGACAAGAACAGAGCTGCTGGTCTGCAGAGCTGGTGAGTAAAATGTTGCAGTACTGTACAGTACATATACGTATGTTGTTAAAATTACGTAGGTTTAAGAGTTTAGAACATAGCAAGAGCATGGTAAGGGTTTATAAAGCATTAAAATATATAAATACTTAAATAAATATAGTAAACTCAGAATATTTATATAGTTCCAGATAACAATAAAATAAGTTCACATCGTTCTAAAAATGAAAGTAGCAGCCCCAAATCAAATCTTACTAAATGTCATTATTTTCATTTGTTCTTTCAGTTCATGCCTCTTATTGTGAATCACTTTGATTCCTCAATTATTCACAAGACCAGAAAATATCAGTGAAGCTCGGAACTGCGTCTACAAAACTGAAGAGAAGACGACATCTACAAGAGGAATAAGAAGAAAACAATCAATCTAATGAAAATACTAATAGGAAGAATAAAATGCTAATAAGAATGGTAATGAAAAACACTGTGTTAGGGGAAACAAGAAACAGTTAAAAGATTAAAGGTCTTAAAAACATAACTCTTTAAATGTTATCCAGGGCACAGACTCCATACCTCCAGCTGCTGAGTGGACTTTCCTCATTTAGGGTACTTTAGAAAGGGGAGAAAGAAAAACAAAGAATTCAGTGGTCAGTTATTTGTTATCACAAAATTAATCTGGATTGTACAAATCCTTTCACCACAAGTGTGATGTTAAAAAAGTAAAAATTAAATGTCAAATTTCAAAATAGCGCTTCAAAGAATAAATGTATGAAAAAATACAACCAGTGCATCATGTCTGAATTAAAGTGACAATTACATTAAACACAAATTTAGCAATTAACATGTTTTTTCTACTAAACAGCATACTTACCAAGACATCAAAACAAACAGAAATATGTTAATCCTCATAATAAAATAATAATAATGGTGGATAGTTAAAGGGTCACAGGTTAGCAGAGCAGAAAGAAACTTGTCACAATTTCTGAGTTGAAATGCAAACAGTATGTATGTGTGTACGCTGCCATTGCTCTGGGAGTTTATAACAGCAAAACACACTGTAGATTGTGACTATTATCATGCAATTTCATAAAAATAAATAAATAAACAGTCCACTGTAAATACCTCAAATACCAAATAATTGAATAAAACTCTAGAAAAACACAAGGAAATAAAACAAATATGTTTAAATTAAAAACAATTAGTTATGAGCTTCAAACATTATATATATATTATATATTTTTTTTTTTATTTTTTTTATTTATTTATTTAATTTTTTTTTAACTATGCTTTGTGGAAAAAATGAGCTAAAAGGGTTAAATGAAAATAGAAGGTGGTAAAATTGAGGGTTTTGTTTTATTGCTTGATTGTGACAAGAATGAGTCTTTACAGATATTTGAATGATAAAACCAATTATTATAATGTTCTTTTTGAAACATACTTAGTTTTTTTAATTAAAATTGAACAAAAAAAGACAATTACATTTGAAACATTACATTTTCAGACAATGCCTTAGTTGAAACTATGCATGACAGTCAGTCAAACAGAGACAGTCACTCACTCACACAGTCAGACAAATGGTCAATCACAGACAGTAAGTTAATCAATCAGTCAGTCAGATAGTCAGACAGAGACAGTCACTCACTCACACAGACAGACAGACAGATGGTCAATCACAGTCAGTCAGTCAGTCAGTCAGTCAGATAGTCAGTCAGTCAAACAGATACAGTCACTCACTCACACAGACAGTCAGACAGATGGTCAATCACAGACAGTAAGTTAGTCAATTAGTCAGATAGTCAGTCAGTCATACAGAGACAGTCACTCACTCACTCACACAGAGAGTCAGTCAGTCAGTCAGACAGACGGTCAATCAATCACAGTCAGTTAGTCAATCAGCCAGTGATTCATTCAGACAGAGAGAGTCACTCACTCACACAGACAGTCAGACAGTAAGTCAATCAGTCCGTCAGTCCATCAGACAGTCAGTCAGTTTGACAGACAGTCAGTTAACATAATAGCACTTTAAAATCAGGCCAAGAAGCATTTTTATTTACTTATTTTTGCATATATGTGTTATGTTGTAAAATTCTTATAATGTAAAGATATGAGTGAATTATTGAATTAACATGTCGACAAAAGAACTAAGATACACGTGAACTAGAACCCATGTGTCCAGCCTCCAACCCAACACACACAAACATATACACACACACACACACACACAAACATACACAAACAAAAATGTGTTTATTCTAAATGTTATAATTAATTAACTGAAAATTAAAAAATATATACCATTTTTTTTAAGTGGGAAGTAGCAAAACGCTTGTCAGCATGTTGAAGCCAACATCTTAAAACTGTCAAAAACAGACAATAACTAATGTACCAATATTTTTAGACATTTTGAGTTTCAGTTTGCCAAAACGTGCAGAAAAAGCTAGCTTTAATGAACATTCTTTGTAATCTGTGTTTTTTTTTTTTTTTTTCGTTTTTAAATCACTACAGATTATTGCAATGCTTTAGCAGTCATTTTCCATGGAGCTGCAATGCACTCATTAGGATAAATATTATTACAAGGTCACACAGAAAGGAAATGGTTTATTTTTAAGTACTGTATATAAAACATTTAAACCTTGAACTTAGTCAGACAAAACACTGTCTGGTTAGTAGTGATCCCTCACCTATTGCAGGGGTACATTCCAGAGACCCCCGCAATATTTGAAAATCTGCAAAGAAGAGGTGTTGTATTTATTTTATTATATATACATAAACCAAGGTTGTTGTAAACCTCCCCTGATTCCTACATCATAATCTTTTATAAACACTTCAGGGTCATAAACACTTTGGCGATGATGAGGATGATGATGATGAAAGTACTGTACACAGAAAATAAAAAACTGGTTTAAAAAGCATATGACACGGTGAAGCTGCAAGAATTGAACCGCGTAAAAACGAGAGACAATTGAATGTATTTCGGACTCACAGACATCAAAGCTCAAGTTGATTTTTGATTGAGCTTCTTGCGTTAAGACCAACACTTTGGGGACTCATAAAAAGTTTTATGTAAAAACTGAAAACTTTACAACTGCTGTAAGACGGATAATGAATCTAATTGATTGTGTCCAAACTTTTAAAGGTTATATTTTTTCCATACCTGCAGAGTAGAAGCAGCAGAGTCACTGGTCTCTGACAGTCCTGTCCCTCTGGGGATACTGGACACGATGTACCTGGAGCCCTTTGGCACAGGCTGTCTGACCACCAGCTTTCCTTTCCTGGTCTCTGCTAGAAACAAACTGTACCAGTAGGCATCGTTGGACACCAGAGTGGAGTCTGCGATGGTGGAGTTCCTCTCACTGACCACACTGTTCCTGCTGGGAGGAGCAGCTTTGCTGGGCTTGGCTTTCTGACACTTCAGCACAATGGTGACCAGGATGGTGATGAGCAGGAGAAATGACACCGAGCCCAGACCGATGACCAAATACAGGTTGATGTCTGAAAAGATGTCATATTCCAGAGACATCTCAGTCATGTCAGAGTACGCCTTAACAGCAGTCTCCACTGT